TAGACATATAAAGTTACTGTTACAAGGGTAAAAGTTCATTTAGTCACCACGTACCGTAAGAACTTAAGCGAACTTAAGCAAAAGCGAAATATACAACCAACCATACCTGTGTATTGATAGAAACGAAATAAATAAAGTTCGCCGCTTTTGTTAATTTCGTTTCTATCAAATACAAATCTATGGTTGGTTATATATTTCGCTTTGACTTAAGTTCTTACCGTAGGTACCGACTAACTAATCCTTGAAGGTGCTGGCTGAGATCACAATTCAAGGAACAACACTTGTATATTTTCATGTACTTGTCTTAAGACTGAATTAGTCGGTAAATATCATAAGAACTTAAGCGAACTTAAGCCAAAGCGAAATATACAATTGCAGTTTGTTGTGCATTTCGCTTTGATTTAAGTTCTTACGGTACGTACCGAATAACTAAAATCATATATATGTAGACACAATAATATAACATAGAAGATACGATTTTAATGAAATCTCATTTTCTAGAGATTATGTTTTGTATGACAGTATTCGTATCAAAGCTATCTTGTAAAACGTGATGTCAAGATCCATTTTGTTTGATTATTATATTTCTCTATAAGTTACTTACGTTATCCGAGATGAAGATGTGAGAATAGGATTGAATTCTGAGAAACCTAACCGTAAGTACATACTCAAAGATTACATAGAGTTTATGCCAGAAAAAAAATCTCCTTTAAAACCAAATTGAAATGGAATGAGAACCAAAACAGATGCAAAAAAATATCACTTTCAATTCATTTGTGGCAAAGGATGGATTCACTTTATTTTATAGTTCTGCGAATGTCTAAACAAGTCGCAAAATTGACACAAAAACACAAATTGGCACTTAACTATTGCACATTTCGCTTTGCAGTAGTTGTCTGTTTTCAGAAAGAATCCTAGCCAACACAAGAATATTGCGACAATTTGTATAAATACAACTGCACCACTTGCCACACTCTTCGATCCAAGAACAACACAGCAATAAACCATAGAAGGGAAACAGTACGCAAATGGAAGAATGTATGGTTGGTATTCGAATGGACATTTGCATTGTTACATATGGGGAATCGGAAAAAGTAGAGAATTATTCTGAACTGTTGAAGAACATGCAACGCAATGAATTCAATAGAACAAAAGTCAAATGTGACAGTGTCAACACACGAACGTTGCAAAGGAAGGTATTAGAGCAATGGAAATGAGAATGGATGAAAAGGAATATCTGAAAATTGTAGAAAATGGTGCAAAGCCATGAATAATAATAATAAATGCACAAAAGAAAAAATATATACCATCACAAATCTGTTATTTCAAATGTCCATTAGGACCGGAAGTGACAGGATATGTGTTGTTTGTGTTATTAAAGTGAGTCCCTGCTGTCGGAAGTCTGTAGTCTGTAGTCTGTTGCCTATTGTTTATATTATTGGTGGTTTGTTTCTGAATGTTTGCATTCTTTTTTTAAGTTATTTTTTGTTTTTTTTTTAGTTTTTTAATTAATTGCAGGAAGAACTTATACAACTGAGAATTATAGAAGTGTAGGAAAATACACAAATGCCAATGAATGTGTAAGGATAAGTGAAACACTTAATTACAAGGAAGCAATAATTGTAGTGGCTTTTCAGTTTCATTGCGGTAATTGCTCTCATTACAAATGTATTCCACAACTCTTTATTAGAATGTTGCAGTCCTCTGATTGGAAAGTTCTTTTCTATTCAGGATATATTACTCTTCACTTTATGGCTAACAACAACAAGTATTGCGCACATGTGAAACGAACATTTTAGTTCACAGGACGATGAGTGATAACTTAATTTATTGTATATTCAGGCAAAATGAATTTTTAATAGAATTTGAAATGCACAGAGTTTAAGAATTGCTATGCATCACATTGTAATAAATATTGTATCTCAAAGTTTTTATTCAGTATCAAAGTGGTTCAATTGTATAAGAGCTTTATTGAAATATCTAAATCAATTTTTTGAGGAGAATATATCAAATAATTTTCGAATTATTCCAGACGCAAAAACAATTTGCACACCAATTTAAAGCACATCTAATATATTATAGCTAAAAATAACTATACCACTCAAGCTATTTGGGCGAACCGTTTTTAAGACATATAGTTATTAGGGTATATAACTAGATTTTTTAACGAAGTGACGAAATGATATCTTGTTTTAAATGACGTTGAGAGTAAAACGGTTTACTATAAAAAATTTAATTCTTAATAAAACTTGATGAAAAAATAACTATTATTTAATTAATATTACAAAACATATTCAATGATATGATATAAGATACTAATATCAGTAAAATATTTAAAAAGCATTAGGCGATGTCCCAGAACGAAAGAAACGAAGGGCCATCAAGTTTCAAGTTAAAAAAGTTGCTTCATATATCTTTATAATTTCCATCGTTTTTTAAACTATAAACCTTATTTAATACTTCTGTTACTGTACTTAAACAGAAAGTATTAAGTTGAGATATACCTATGATTGGTATCTTGGATTGATCAAGCTGGTCACAGCCTAATCTAAAACCTGAAATTCACCATTGACCTAAGATCGTTTCATGACAATTAAAACAATAATGCAAGTAGAAAAAAAACTTAACACTATTAAATTTACACGTGGATTTTGTGGCATATGCTGAGCATAAAGTTATGAAGTCAACCACTGATATAGATACATTAATTGCGATAATATTGATGAACTAGTATTAAATGTATCATTTAATCTTTATAGCACATTATTATCGCAAATACAGCAGTCTATCAAAAAAACTGTTGACCACATCATATCGAGACGTACAATATTGGCGGAGACAAAATATACTTTAAACCAACAATTGACACGGATATCTATTCAAAAAACCAAAGACATCAATAAGAAACTCAAAGTCAAATCTCGTATTGCTTTTTTTTTACTGACTCTCAAATTGGAACAAATGTTGTATAATTTCCCAGTGTTTATTGCTTCCTACCCTTATATTAGATATATATGAACGTGCTATATCGCATTGTAAATGAAATCACAAAACCAAATATATGAATGCAAAACTGGTACAATGCGAACAATTATAGAACAATTATAGATAGATAGATAGAGCAATGGGGTGAGCGCTTACTTGAGTCCATCGCTGCTGCAACACATAACAATAGAACGGAAAATATGTCAAGTTATACTATGACTCGTAGAGTGAAGAGGCTTATAAACCCATGCTGATATCACTTTAATTGCCATTTAAATTTTATAATAGTCACAATTTTAAGTACAGAAGAAAAGTCCAATCCTTACCGAGATACGTAACAGATATTTTGAAGTCGTTGTTAATGTAATCGTTTTCAATATGTACACACGTTTATATATATATGTATAAAAATTCTTATAGCTGCCTTCTAATGGAAGTGTGTTTAATTTTAATACACAATATACGCTTTAGTTTAAGTTTGCTTTCGCTAAATAAATAATCACATCTCCACTATCCTATTATATTTTTAATAATTTAAAAACAAAAATTTACTTTTTCATTTTTAGTTTATTTTACTTAATAGTTAGTGAACATTTTGAACAACATGATATTTGAAGATATATTCACATATATTCACTCTCCTCAATTTGATGGACCACGATGGTATCATCATTCTTCAACTCCAACTCGGATGCCGTGTCAGTGTCACGAAGAAGGGTCCCTTTGAAACGGAATTCTACGTCTTCTATTGGTAAATTGGCCCATTCACAATAGGCGTTCTTCACTTTATATAGTTTTGTATTACCTCTTATTATAATCTTCAGCATCCTGTCGTAAACATCAACGACAAAAACACCAAAACGCCCATTAGCACCCGGTCCTGTTTCGTTATCCATCGGATTTAAAATTTAGGGATTGAATAAAGTAAATGCGCTGCAGCAAGAATAGATTTAGATTTAGAATACACGCAAAACTATGAAACCGGAAAAAAACTTACTCCTCCTTGGCTTCTTTTTCGACAAATGAGTTATATTTCATATGATTTTACTTAATTGACATTTGATCTAAAAAAATGTGCTGCCAATATTATTTATTATTTATTATTATACTTATTAGGTTTTCCTTGGCTTACTATTCTCTGATATACCTCACCTGTTTCAATAATTGTCTAAATCAAGTGTGTGTCTCAAGAAATTACAATATATAGTCTTTAATTATTTTGTAAAACATCGAATGCTTTCAATATACGTATATTAAAAATTCTTCAATATGTCATTTTAATATACAGGAAGAAGATTAAATTAATATTTGATTATTCTTAGAAATATGTGGAATACTATGATTAAAATTGAAAATAAAATATACTATATAACATTTTTAAATTCTTTTCTGAATCAATTTATATACCAACATTAATTTCGAAGGATTGATTGACCTAAGATCATATTGAGCAATTTACAATGACTAGTGACGATCATCTATTAGATTAATGAAAAATTTTGAATTTTTCTGATTCCGATATAATTTAAATCAATTGATATTAACGCCGTGTGCGAGTTCGAGTAAATTGAGGTAAAGTGAATTGAAATTTCCTAGGGATTTTTTACACTACACTTAAGTAAATATTTATTTATTGCATTTATGTATTACTTTTGGTTGAAAGTTACCCATTTTTTTTATTTATTTATTTAACATCTTTTAAAATTTTTACAATAGTAACACCTAATTTACTTAAATTTAATCTAATATACCCTACTTGAAATTCTGGTAAATACCAACATTCACTGCCATACCGACATAATTTACAATTTCCCCCAAATTACTATCAATTTACCCGAACTAGCACACGGCCCAAAAGTTGACTTAAAAGCACACGTTTTTCCCATAATTAATTATTGTTATATAATGGAGTAGGCTTGATTATTTACTAGAAATAATGCAAGATTTGAATTATTTAAATTTAAATAAAATTAAAATACTGTTTTTATTTTTAATTTTAAATCTAGTGCATTTCTTTGTGTATTATTATTAGTAGTGTGACAAGAAGTCAAGAAGTAGTGTAACTTCTTGACTAAAATAGGCATAATGCTATATTCTTCTTCTCTTCTTGATGCTAAGTAAATTATCATGCCAACTGGAATGTTTTTGGCACTAGATGGCGCTAGAGTCTGTGTGTGACGGATTCACCACAGTAGTATTAATACTAAATAATTTTGCAATGTAATTTTTAAAACAAAGTCTGTGATGCAATTTTTTATATCTTTTATAAAATTGGAAGCATCCATATAACAACCCTGTTCAAATTTGCAAAAACTGTAGATTTGTAGTTCTCCTTTGCGCATATTTTGAAAAAAATGCGTCTAGTTTTATTGCGTCGCTGAACTTTATTGGAGTGGAAAAGTTTAGTAGAAATTTGAAATAAATTGAAAATTCGGAATAATACGTTAAAATATGTCGGGTGTGGGGATTTGTGTTATGTGCTTCAAATTTGCGTCGCATGTTTGCCAGACTTGTGGGGATTATTATTGTTCTGTTACTTGTCAGGCACTGGATTGGCGTACTCATCGTTTCATATGCAAGAGAATGCCGTAAGTACAATGAAATTTTATATATAATATATATATAATATATATAATATATATTTTATATATAATATATATATAATATATATTTTATATATAATATATATTAAATATAATAGATAATACATATAATTCTAAAAATTTATAGTAAGTTGGAAGTAATGGATCCAATAAAAAAAGTACGTGAATGGTTGAAGAAAAATGATCAATGGCTATGGCATATACGCAAATTTCAACATGATATGCTACAGCAGAATCTCCCTGATAGCCGAAACATACTCAATTTTAATAGTCCACAACAGAGCAATGCATACCAAAATCAAAGTCAACAAAATTATTCTGAAAGTAGACGAAACAACTGCAAACAAACCTACCAGAATAATCAGGGATACAATGAAGAGATTCAACAAAAGTGTCTATTAAAAATAAATGTACGTCACGGTCAGAGTTTAGATGAAAGCAGTAATGCTCCCGTTCTCAAAGCAGTAAGTTAAAAGCAATCAAAAATTATATATTTTGATTAATTACTGAAGTTTAAACTTTATAAATTATAGCCCTTTGAGATAATAAAATTAAACGAAAATGGTACTAACTTTCTGGCATATGTAGTTGACACTAGTTGCATTAGAGAGGGACTTTTTGCTTGTATTCCTTACAAACATTATCCTTCTTTTATAAACATGCAAATATTTTTGGCAAAACTGGGCAAGGGTGGACAGCCTTATAAGCCTACGTAAATAAATATTCTAATATAATTCATTTTTAAAATTTTATTGATAAATAACTTTCAGGTTCACGGAGTACTGCATCGTTCTGGTAAGAGAACAGTGGTATCGAGCTAAGGTGATTGGTGCATATGGCAACGAATTTAAAGTTGAGTATATTGACTTTGCCAATGACGGCTGGGTTAAGCCTGAGCATATACGTCGATATCCTTTGGGTTTAACTTATGTTAACTCCACGAGCTTGTGTAGGCTAGCAGGTAATTATTGTACATATCCAATATTGATGAAATGTTAATATTTGAACTATATAGGTTTACCTGACAAACTTGATTCGAAGCTCTCAAATCAGTTGGAGGATATCATAGTCAATATTCAAAAATTGCAGGTACAAACAGTTAAAAAGTGTGACGACTTTTTTGAAATCGAATGTCCAGTTTTATTAAAACAATTCTCCAAATTAGGTTTTATTTAAACTGAACTGTTTGCTTATAAATAAATTTTAAATACCCCTGAAACATTATATTGCAGTAACAATCAATTTATATTATTTAGCTATCCAGAATTGCCTTATATAATTTCACGTTACTCATAATTTTTCATTTCTGAACAGTTTGTATCTATACATTGTTTTAAAGTAAGTACTTCACATAAGAGATAAACCTTAAATAAACGTAGAGAAAGATTTTTAATGAGTTTGTTTATATAATAATCTTTAATAATTATGTATTATGAGAGAGCATTGCATTTAATGCTAATTCGATTTATATTATTTTACCTTATATCAGTGCTGTCCAAAGTACGGCCCACTTTGTATTTATATATTGCAAATGTGCAGTTTTAAAATAAGTGTAGTCTATATTTAATAATCATTGAACAAATCAGAAAAGTTCTAACTGAGAAATATTTTATGCGTAGAATATTATTTAAATGTGGATTATGCCCAACGTACAGTTTAACTATAGTAACAATACTAGCTTATATCGTAGGCTACTATCACTACTATTAAATTTTTCTCTACTTGTTATGCCTATATCATCTGCATAGCATTGCACTGCTAGTCCGTTATTTTCTAGCTCGTCAAGTAGTTCATCCACTAGTATGTTCCACATGAGTGGTGAGAGTACCCCACCCTGTGAACACACTCATGTGGTGTTCATGCTTATTATCCTCATACTAGTATGTATTTCTATTTTTCCAGAGCAGAGCATGTTGCTTATCGTTGACTACTTTCCCTTGAACGTGGACTACGATGAGAGTCATCAACTACTGTTTCGAAAGACTGTAATCGTGCGTTAAAAATTAGTTTAATTAGAATTAATTTACAAAGAATTATTCATCAACCCAATTTTTATGTTAATCATTTTCTTATGGTAAATATTTAAAAATTATTTATGTATTTTTGAAAATATACTCTGAATTAATCAAACATAAAAAGTCAAGTACGGCTTTGGCTCAGTTGGTTAAGGTGCGTTGACTCTGAGCTTCAAATTTGGCAGGGCACGAGTTCAATTTTTGGTACTTGCAGTTTAAAAAGTTTTTTAGAAATAATTAAATACAAGATTTATTTCCAAGACCACTGATGAGTATAGCCAAATATACTCGAAACAGCTGTATGGTCAGACAATAATTCAATTAATAGAAATAAAATGAAAAAAAATTTCTGTTGTTGTAGTTTACTACTGTTAGAAAAACCTCTTTACATTCTTAATAAAAATAATTATTTTATTATTAAAGATGTTAAGTACAATGTACCAGAATTTTGAAATGTATAACATATTTGATGTTTTAATTTTAATTAAATACTATTAAACAGTTTTTTAAATGTATGCATATTGAATTGTGATATGCTTGCATGACAAAAACTCACAGTTATCTGTCAGGGTCTCTACGGTTTAAAAAGATATAGATATTAATCAAAAAATTATAGAAGCGTAAACAAGTATATTTTTTTTATTTAGTAAAGGAATTTAATATTGATGTTAAATGTCTGTTCATGGACTGAGAAAAGTGGCATTGTGACTTATTTGTTATGCGACAAAAGATTAATGTTAAAAAATTTGTTTTCTTTATTGTTTGGGGTTAACAGATGTTAATGTTAGCACATAAAAATCTATTGAAATCTAGTAGGAGTTGTTGAAAAAAAGTGGGATTTGTGGTTATCAAATAGATCAAAGCAAAATCTTTACAAAACATTAGCCCACATATTTCAGATATTAACCCTTTTAGTTGTATTTGATAATATTTGATATCGCAGTTGTATGTAAACTATTAATTAGATTTAAAACGAAATAGACTTTTTGATATAGAAAATTCGTACAAAGTTTGAATTTAAATAAAACCTATAATGTTGTGAGTGTATTGAAGGGTTTGGTTGTTGCGTTTGAGGAAAGATCTCAATTGTCATCAAGTGTGCTGCCTATACCACCCATTGTTAGATGTGAGCAAAGCTTGAGAGGAATTAAATGCCAAAATGTAAATATTTTTTAAGTGCTGAAACCATAAGTTTTGCATAAAGAGCTTTTGACAGAACACAGAAAATAGTTCTAATTAAGCAAAAATTAAAATTTAAACACATTAAACACACTTTCGTTTGAGAGCACAATGAAGTATGCGAATTTTAATTTTTATATTGCAGAAGTTAAAAAATGTTGCCGAACTAAAAGATTTTAACGATTAGAAGGTTTTGAATTATTTTGAAAAGAATATCCTTTTCTATAAACTCTCTTTGGTGTACGAATAATAATATTTTTTTGGAAAGCTTCTAAATTACAAACACTTACATTGTGTCGTAGCATTGTGCGTAAGGCATCATCATCATCATTATCATAATCCGTGACTACACAGTCCATGTAGGATCTAAGCCTGTTTAACAACAGTCTTCCATTCTTCTTTGTTTTTTGCTTTTCTTTTTCAATTTCTTATATTCATTATTACTAAGTTCAGCTGCACACTGTTTTTCTATCGTTTTCTCGGTCGCCATATTTTTCTGCTGGTATGTACTTCGTTCTTATAAATCGTAAGCGGTACTCTCACATTCGGCGTTCTTGTCACATGTCCAACCCATCTTAATCGCTTAATATTCATTATTTCTAAATCCTGCTGAACACTGTCTTTCCATTGTTTTCTTGGTAGCCATATTCTTCTGCTGGTATGTACTTCGTTATTATAAGTTTTAAGCGGTATTCTCATATCCGGCATTCTTATCACATGTCCAACCCATCTTAATCGCTTAATATTCATTATTTCTAAATCCTGCTGCACACTGTCTTTCCATGGTTTTCTTGGTAGCCATATTCTTCTGCTGGTATGTACTTCGTTATAATAAGTTTTAAGCGGTATTCTCATATCCGGCATTCTTATCACATGTCCAACCCATCTTAATCGCTTAATATTCATTATTTCTAAATCCTGCTGCACACTGTCTTTCCATGGTTTTCTTGGTTGCCATATTCTTCTGCTGGTATGTACTTCGTTATTATAAGTTTTAAGCAGAATTCTCATATCCGGCATTCTTATCACATGTCCAACCCATCTTAATCGCTTAATATTCATTATTTCTAAATCCTGCTGCACACTGTCTTTCCATCGTTTTCTTGGTAGCCATATTCTTCTGCTGGTATGTACTTCGTTATAATAAGTTTTAAGCGGTATTCTCATATCCGGCATTCTTATCACATGTCCAACCCATCTTAATCGCTTAATATTCATTATTTCTAAATCCTGCTGCACACTGTCTTTCCATGGTTTTCTTGGTAGCCATATTCTTCTGCTGGTATGTACTTCGTTATTATAAATTTTAAGCAGTATTCTCACATCCGGCGTTCTTATCACATGTCCAACCCATCTTAATCGCTTAATATTCATTATTTCTAAATCCTGCTGCACACTGTCTTTCCATGGTTTTCTTGGTAGCCATATTCTTCTGCTGGTATGTACTTCGTTATTATAAGTTTTAAGCAGAATTCTCATATCCGGCATTCTTATCACATGTCCAACCCATCTTAATCGCTTAATATTCATTATTTCTAAATCCTGCTGCACACTGTCTTTCCATGGTTTTCTTGGTAGCCATATTCTTCTGCTGGTTCCCATTTCGTTCTCATAAATCTTAACCGATATTCTCATATCCAGCATTCTTATCACATGTCCAACCCTTCTCCATCGCTACTTTTTCATAAATTTGTTGACTGTATCACCTTCAGCTAGCCGTTCTAGCTCATGGTTACATCTTATGCGATACATCCCCTTTTCTTTCACGGGACTAAAAATTTTTCTGTGTATTTTCCTTTCAAACACTGCTATCTTGCCTGCTTCAGTTCCAGTTAATCTCCATGTCTCGCTGCCATATGTTACTACTGGATGAATCAATATTTTGTACAGTTTCAGTTTTGTTTTCTGTGAAATATTATTACTTGTAATTAGTCGTTTTTTTGTGCGTAAGTGAGTTCCTTAAATAGGAAGTCGCTGTGAAATATATGAATTCCTACTTGATATAACATAACATTTAGCAGGGTACTTCACCCTGCTAAATTAAAAACTTATTCAATTTTCGGATACGGCCTCACAGTGTTGCTTTATTGAAACGTTTAAATAATGCGTTTTATGTTTATTTTGGAAAATGTTGGCAACTTCATTGGCAAGCGATGTCCTTCTCTCCGTGCTGTAATAAAATTGGCGCTTGAAGCTAACAAACGCCAAACGAGAAAATGAGTTTCCGCGTTTAAGAGCATATTTTGATTTTAATATAGCTACGGGTACTCAAGTGAAATTACAGCAGCAAGCATTATATCGTAATAAATATCCGTAAAGATCATAAAAATTTTATGTTTGATTTTATTAGTTCGTTAAACGCGTTTTCCGCTTCAAACGCCATGACGGACAGACTAGCATTTTTCTATCCAAAGCAAAATTCTGATTCAAACGCAATTTTAAGGATTGTAGCAGCCACAACCGATGGCGTCTGATTTACGATTGCAATTGCAACAATTTTTATTCCCTTTATTTAAGATGCATCTACGTGTCGTCCTGTCGTCCTGTGGCGTCCTGTTTCGTCCTTGTATAGCACGCGAAATTTGCATCTGTTTAAAAACTTTTTGCATCAACATTTTTTTTATTCAACTTTAATCGGTGCTTTGAAGTAGAAAAGGTTAACTACAAATCATTGTTGTAATGATCACTCAGTTTAACAACTTTAAATGAAAAAGGAAAAGTGAAAAGCTTAATTAAATTGACTTAAAAGAAACTTAATTGTTTTTGACTGCATAAAATTATTTGGAATTTTAAGCTGCATTTCCTTGGAAAGTATTCTTATTGACCTTTTAAAAGACTTCTAATTTTATTGCTGGGCTGCATATGCTCTCAAGGGATGGAGCTAAGGCAACGTTATTTCAGCATAGATTTCTTGAATGTTTCATTATAATTATTAACTGCTTTTTCTAATTGTATTTGCACTGTATGTCGTTGAGCTTAGAAGTTTTCCACAATTTACTTTGTCAAGAATTTTGAAATATTCATAGTCAAGA